AGTTCCAGAGTGAGGACAGAACTCTCTCCCTGGTTACATTCTTAACAGTGTTTTGAACAAGGCTTTCAACTTCCAGGATTGTGTAAGATGGAGCCAAGATGATATCAAGCTGCTATTGTACTTCAGTTGTGTAGCTGTATGTAGGAATGCAGGTACATGTACACGAGGGGAGTTGTTTGGAATATCTTGTTGGAGTTTTGTTTGCAACCTCACATGATGTTGATGGTTTGTGTGACTGAGAGGGACTTTTCTGGATCGAAGTGTCTATCCAATTGTTCCTTGCAACCTTTGATTTCAAAGAGAAATCAAAGAATAAAACTTCTGCTGAGTGTTCCTTTCCTCTCATCTATTGAGAGGAAGTAGTTTTTAGTTTGCTGTTGATTTATTCGCCTGGTTGCTATGTATGAGTGCAGCAAAGAAAACAGAATATACATGTATGCGGGGTATGTTTTGGAAGCCCCTGATACCTCACACTCCTTTTTTTAAGAAGTGACTGCTGTGTTACCAGTTGGGCTTCTTAGTTAGTCCTGCCCCCTTTGGAGGCAATAGAGGTTATGAGAATAGATCTGGACCTCCCAGGTCCACAGATGAGTTTTTGAAGGTCCCAGACCCTCGGATTACTACTCCAGCTATAGATAATGTCAGTAAACAAAAATTGGTCATCAGTCAGTTCCCTACACAAGAGTATAGCATATAATACCATTGGTAGAACAGTCTCACTATGGAACTTTAAGCAAGGAAATGAAATTTGTGTGCTTCTGATTTAGAGCTACATGTGCAAAAAAGAAATTGAGAGAACAGAACAAGAAAATTTGTCATCCTCTCTTTTTTGATGTTGTCCAAGTCCAGTTCCAGCTGTAGATTGCAGCAGGATATATTCAACTAACGAAAGTGTGAATTATAAACCCCTCATTCTCTTTAAGCAGTCTGTGGCCTCTAGCACAGGCCAAAGAAGACAGCTGGCAAAATTTCAGAACCTGGCAGGATTTCTGCGGTTTGGGAAATCCAAACTAAATGTGAAGTTTAATTTCATCAACAATTTTAGCTCTTGCCCAGGAATGGGAACTTATCATTAAATGTCTAGAATTTATGGTCCTCTACCAAAACCTGTAAATCACGAACCACAAGCTTTGTCAGTGCTCACTGACTCCAGCATTTGATCTTATTCTGGTATATTTACCAAATGCCCCATTTCTCTTTTTATGAATATCAGCTTGAGAATGTGAATAACTTGTCAAAATATGTAGAAAAAGATGTGTGGCATTTCTAAGAATTATACTTCCGCTAATTTGATGAGGGATACCAAAATATTTTATACTGTTGGATTTATACCTCAGAGAGAGGAACTAAAAGCAATGTAGTTATGTGTATGGTACATCATGATAGTAACTTAACAAGATAACCGCAGTCCTTTCATAGCACAGCTTTTTAGTTACTTTCAGAGATGGGAAATAACATATTAAAGTAACACAGGATAGAAATAGGTATTATAAACAGTTTGCAATGAGAGCTGAAAGCATGTTGGTGTGGAGATGAAGATACATGATTCAGATAGACATTCACATTTAGAAATCAGATTTTAAAGAACTCCAGCAGTTAAATCTTGAAGACAAATACAAACAAAGCAAGCTGACTGGAAGGCTCCAGGGTGTGAGAAAAACTCCTGCTGTGCCATGCACAGTCAGCTCTTAAGGATTTATTTATTTCTGCTTTTGATGTATTATCAGGTCTGCTTCTGTACAAGTTACCTGCAACAAACTACATTTTAAGATAAAGAGTGCATAATGGCCTACAAATCTCATCGTCATCATCTTTGAATTGCAGAGTTGGAAGGACCCTATGGATCATCAGTTCCAGCCCTTGTCAAGGAGGCACAGAAGGGAATCAAACTCCCAAATAGATGTCTAAAACATTGAGCTATTCAGCAGTTCAACAAAGATGCGTGGAATGTTCAAGGAATGGTTTATCATTGCCCCCACTCCACCACTACAAGATCAAAAAGGTTTTGAACACAGATCTCTGGGCTCCTAGCCTGACACTCTGCCCCTAACACCACACTGGAAAATAGAGCTATCTATCTATCTATCTATCTATCTATCTATCTATCTATCTATCTATCTATCTATCTATCTATCTATCTATCTATCTATCTATCTATCTATCTATCTATCTATCTATCTATCTATCTGTTTATTTATTTATTTATTTATTTGAGGGATGTGGTGGCGCTGTGGGCTAAACTGCAGAAGCCTGTGCTGCAGGGTCAGAAGACCAAGCAGTCGTAAGATCGAATCCACATGACGGAGTGAGCACCCGTCACTTGTCCCAGCTCCCGCCAACCTAGCGGTTCGAAAGCATGCAAATGCGAGTAGATTAATAGGGACCACCTCCGTGGGAAGGTAACAGTGTTCCGTGTCTAAGTTGCACTGGCCATGTGACCATGGAAGATTGTCTTCAGACAAAACGCTGGCTCTATGGCTTGGAAACGGGGATGAGCACCGCCCCCTAGAGTCAAACATGACTGGACAAAAATTGTCAAGGGGAACCTTTACCTTTACCTTATTTATTTCATTTGTACCCCGCCTATTTGGTCTTGCAACCACTCTAAGCAAGAAATGGCAAGAGCATCTGTTTCAGTCTGAAAAGTAATGCATTCTAATTTTTAAAGTTATTTTTTAAAAGGCATGTTCAGGCATATTTTTACAGGAATGTACAGCCTTACCCAATACACAGTGTCTGAAGAGTGAACAGCATGCATGTTGTAGAATCATCAAATCATAGAATAATGGAGTTGAAAGGGGCCATCAAATCCAATCCCCTGTTCAATGCAGGAATCCAAATAAAAATATATATGGTTGTCTGATTTCTCTTGAATGCCTTCAGTGTTGGAGCACTTACTACCTCCTAAGATAATTGGTTCCATTGTTGTACTGCTCTAACAGTTAAGAATTTTTTTCTGATATTCAGCCGCAATCTTGACTTCGTATAATTTGAGCCCATTATTACATGTCCTGTACCCTGGGATAGCTGAGAACAGATCCTGCCCTTCTTCTGTATGACTATTCTTCAAGTATTTGAAAAGTGCAATTATATCTTCCCACTGTCTTCTGGCATACATGAAAGTGTAAAAAAGAGAAAAGATGCAGCAAATCAGGAGTAAAACATAATCACAGACATTGTTAGATACCATGGTTTATGATCAGCTTTTCTCAGCCTCGTACTTTCCAGACAGGATGGCCTGCAAATCTCACACTCTCCAGTCTGCAGTCAGTCTGTGGCATGTTTATGCATCTCAAAAGTGGCAGGTTGGAGAAGGCAACTTAAGCTCTGCAGAAATCAAAAACAGAATGTTGCTCTTCTGGACACCAAACTATATAGCATGTGCATCCAGCTGGACCAGCGCCATGCAGTGACTTCTCGTCTACCCTGAGCATGGCTCATTTTGACTGATTTCCCTTCAGACTATCTTAACTTGGAATTCAGCTTGGCAGCTCTCAGGAGTATGATTCACAAACCAATTATTAAGATGAAGCACTTGGATTTAAGCCAGTTAAGTAGGTATGTCCTAGAGCTCTGGAGTCTTCTAATGGATTTTCATCTCAATATACCTCATTTCTGTCTAAAACGATCATGCTACAGAAACCATTTCATTTCATACTGACTGCCGTAAATCAAGCAGTTGTTGTGATGTTCTTTTCCTGCTGTGCAGCAGGTAAATTAGGGATGAGACTTTGTATTATTTTTATAGAACAAGAAGCTTAGGCTTTATCTGATAGTTTTAAGTTTTTTAATGATAATCCATCACATTCAATTCCTCTTTGAATTTTTAAAGTCTTTAATGAAACTTTATTCAAAACATGAGCCCTACAGCAACCCTTTTCATGTATATTTGTATATTGTTTAGAACTATACAGTAAAGGCCAGTACACTGTTGTGTAACTCTGCCTTTAATTTTCAGCTGTGTATGACTCGTACACCATGATACAAAGTTGCACACACCCAGCATTGAAAAAAGAAGCAGGAATTTGCCGCTGTCAATGACATCAGTTCCATGTTGCAGGATCCCGGCTGTAGTTTGTCATGTATTGCGAAATTTTTAATTTGCCTTTTGCGAAGTGTGGGATGGTCTCTAAAATTGTATCTTCCTGGAACTAAAAAATAAAAATCAATTCTCAGATTTACTGTAAGGATTTTCCCAAATGGAAATTAAAAATGAAAACCAAAAGGTAGTACCATGACAAGTTATACTTTTCAACTAGAAAATCTCAACTACTCCAGCTAGGGCCATGCTGCTTGGCATGTTATTGGGGTTCTAGCACACACAAAAAGTACTTTTCTGATCTCCATAGGAAAAAAATATTGGATTTACTTTAAATACTTGAATGGTTGGTCTCAGTATATATAGTTGCAGAATTCCTTCCTGAAAAGAACCCCGTACCTCAGCAAACTTGATAAGTATTCCAGCATAGTAATTTTTCTTAACCGACTGAGGAAAACTGCACTGTGAGCAGAGATGATTAAATATGCATCCCATTAAGAATTCTATATCTTGTGTCTAGACATTTATTATGTTGTGAAAGGAAGAGATGAATGGGTGGAACTCTAAATCAATGCATATGTCTGTAAACCATGTTTCTCTTCCAAGATAGGGAGGAACTAAAATTAGACAGTCTTGCTGAAAATGATGGCCCCAGATATTTTGGAACTGTTGAAAAAATGTAGGGCTTTCCCTCCTACCCTTTTCTACTAACCTGTGTGAGTGACAGAGAGACTTAGAGCCATGACAGAAGGGACAAAGCTGGAGGTTCCCCTCCTTGTGTGCATAAACATGATGCTGTCATAGGACTATTTCACCTACATATGCTCAGGCATATAGTAGTGACACTCAACCCATAAACAGGACCGTTGCTCTCATGTCCAGTCAAGTGCCAGGGAATACGTGAACCGAGGGTTCAATCTGCAAAAAGCCAAGCCAAGCTAAACCAACTTACCAACCATCTACATGGCTTTACCATCTGTGGGTAGCCACAGCCTCCTACTATAGCAAACGCCTTCAGTTCACTGTGTGAAGAGACCTGTGGAAAATGTCATGATTAATATCTTTCCTCCCATTTGATTGCCCTTCTTTTCATCACAACAACAGAACATCTGCAGATAGAAATTAAACTCAATAATTTTGCTGCTCTTTGGAGGGAAATAAGAAATAAAAGAAAATTGAAATCCTAATAGAAAATTGGAATCTAGTTAAGGAAGGACTCTTGGGAAGAGAATAAGCTAAAAAAAAGTTAAAACAAAAGACTTGCATGGTCTTGATGCTGATGCTATAACTTGTTTAATTGTTGTTTAGATTCTGTTGAGGTAACACAATAAATTAAGTCACTTCCTATGCTCATGACTGTTTAAAAAATTAAAAGGAGAAAACTATTTTTCATCCTCAGTATGACAACTGACATCAATCTTAACCAATGATTAATTTCCCAACTTCATTTATGAGGAGATAATTATTCTTTAAAGAGAAATAATATCCTAAGTCCTCCAATGTTCATGGAAGTACAGGAGTACACCATTTCTGTTTTCCCCTTTCAGCTTTATTGTAAAATGTTTATGTTACAATGTACATATAATTAAAGGCAATATCTTCATCATATTAATATTCATCTCTGACAACAATTCAGATTAAATGTGAACAATAAATAACACACATAGGAGCATTTTGCCAAACATAATTTTAAATTAAATTATCTTCTAGTTCAAAATCCACAGAATTTCAGACTGTGAATTCCCTCATAGACATGGGGAATGTTCACTTAATAGAGCTATCTCCAGGGGAACCTGGACAGAAGAAACCTGGGGCACAGAAACAGGGAATCCAGACAGAGACCATAGAGTGTGAGACACAGGGAGGAAGCCTGGGACAGGAGAAGCACCCCCTAGAGGAGAATGGGAAGGAGGACCCTTGGGAGCTGTGGAATATAAGGGAGGTGCTGGAGGCAGACACCACCAGAAAGGGAGAAGAAGTTGGAGCAGGAAGTCCAGACTGGGGACTTGTAACTTAACATCCTGGTAGAGGAATTCAAAGAAGAAGGGGCCTGGGGGAACCATACGAGGGCTACCAGGCAGAGGAAGATGCCCTTGAGGAATCTGATCCTCCTATCAGCTTTCCCTCACAATTGAGCATGGGATCATGAAAGTTACTCTTGCTCCCTCTCTCTCAGAAGTATATATTTCTTCCTCATCAAAATACATATTTCAATAGTTCCATAGGACCTTCTGTACATGCTGCAGTCATTAAATTCTATACCTTTTTATCGTATTCAGTCATTTAATTTTTATTTGCTCAATCACATTTATTGATCAACATTTTATGTTACAGCTTGGGGCCTCTAGGTTTAGTACTTCAAAATGTAATAGTTGAACTACACACTTAGATCATCTAATTATGTATATTACAGATTGAACAACCAATGTGGATGGTCTAGGTAGAATATGGACATTTCTGGCAGCAGTGTGCATTGACCCTGGCTTGAGTATCAAGGGAATTCTAAAATTCCTTACTCAAACAGTGGAAGAAGTGCGTTATGCTCACTACTAGATAAAAGCAAGCTGGGATGTCACAAATAGGAGGATGAAGACCATCTCATATGAAATATGCAAGGAAGGTCCATCAATGGCTATTTCTTTCATACTCAGGATTTTCTTCTAGATTAGTTGCTTGAGCCTGCAGGCAATGAGTGAGGCCAACTCAGTGAATGTCATTTGTAGAATATCTGTAAAATTTACCTTCCTTGTGTTTCTCAGGAACCCACCAGCCTTATGTATCAGTTTGCCAGGACTCTTACCCCCACTTCCCTTTGCAATGGAAATGTGTATACTGTATTTTTGGAATGCATTTTTCTCAGTATGTGCATTTTGATGTATTTTGCCATTGACAAAAGCATATTTTAATATATTTTTTCAAATATATTCAAATATATTCCTTTTTAGTTGTACATATTTTCCAAATTAGCATGTTGTGTGTACTTTTCATCACTGAAATGGGTCACAAGATTTGGAAGTGTATAGATTTCCGAGGCAAATGGGTGTTTGTCCCATTGCCAGTCTTGGGAGGCAAAAATTTGAATTTGTCTATTTTATAGAGAACGGTGAACTCAACAGATTTAATTTCCATCCATAGCAACGAGAGAGATTCAGCAGCTGAGGCAGAGCTGCCCAGGAAGGAAGGATGGTGGCAGGGAGTTCCCTGACCCAGAAAGATAGTTCGCCTTCTGTGGCATGGGAGTTTCACCATCATGAAATAGGTATTCTTTAGGCCACCTGTAATTTGTACCTGTTATGGTGAATAAATATTATTTTGTACTACAACAAACCAATAAAATAATATACTTAACAAAGGTATCTGCCTTGGTCCTTACATATAATCTGAAAACCAAGGCAGGTGATAACTTTATTAGATTACTAAAATGTCATAAATATTACTTAGTTTTCGGCTCTGTAGGAGCCTTGATTAGACTGAGCACTACAGAGCATTGCCTGGTGATACAACTGGAGCCTTGTTACTTAGTAGAAATTCACCATAGTGAGTTAACCAGATTTAATTTATCCATGTATATTATCAACACGATTCTGGCTTTTAACATTGCCTTTGAAAGCTATTTCTTAATCTGAAATCTTTTTCAATAGGGTCTATAGTAAACACTTTAATGGAAAGAAAGACATTTTTTTCCAAATATATATATATATTTCCTTCAAATATATATATATTTGAAGGAGCATTTTTTTCCAAATATATATATATTTGAAGGGAAGGATCCCTGGACAGGCATGTATATCTTTCTGTTTGTTCTACAGGAAAGTACAATAGATTTCCCCACTTATTTGTGTGACGGGAATACTTACAGGGAGAAAATATGTCTGTCTCTGTCATGTGAAGTTGCCTCCACCGGTCTTATAATGAAACTTTAATTCATCAAAAGCAAGAGAATAGGGAGCAGAGAAATCCTTTTAGAGAAGTAGAAAAAAGAAAGGAAACTCAGCACAAAAGCTTTCAACTTCCAGATAGGCCTGTCAATAGTTGTGTATTACTCTTTGAATGAAAACTGCATAGTAAGCAACATCCTGACATGTATCATATTTGAAACAGGCTTGAATGGATGTGAGTAATAAAGTATAAAATGTATAGCAATACTATGTTGTAAACTCACACCCTGCAGCAAGAGATAATAAAGTAGTGTGATACACTAGCTCTCTAATCCAGGTATTTCTCTGGAATACCTCATAATTATCAAACTGGACAAGAAGATTGTGATATTGGCAGGTAGCACGCATCCCTCTACAGTCCCTCTTTCTCCCTCAAAAAAAAAAAAGTTCGTTAAAGTGTTGATATGTGTAGGCTTGTGCTGATAAGCATGGTGACAGAACCAGAAAAAAAAAAATCTCTAACAGCTTCAGGGGGTGGAAAAGAGTAAAAAGCGCCATCTTCCTTCTGCCTTTCTTCCCCATGCAACAGATCCTACATCAAAAGGCAGAAAGAGCTGCTCTGTTCTCTTCACAGTTAGCCAGAAATCCTTTTCACTCATCTCTGAGAAATGCCCCATCAAAGAAGCAGGCTGGGATTTTGCTTTCCACTCTGTCAACTGGAGCTGAAGCCATCAACTCAGCATCCTAACTTTAAAAAAAAAATCTTTGGAATGTCAGACATCTTCAGTGGAAGAAAAGATCTGTGAAAGGTTTTCTTCTTCACAGCTGTGTTTATGGCATATGCTATCTCTCACTATCTTCTTATAAGCTAGGCAGATAAAGCCTTTCAGATGGGTATTATTCAGCAAGGGTTTAATCTTTTCAAACATCACATCCTCGACCCAAATGTTTACCTTAGCAGAGGCTATAATGATTACTTAGCTTGTACTGTGTCTACACATTTGGGGCTTCCTGGCATGGAGACAAATATGTACCTCAGGAAAGAACCATGCCATTTTCTATTGGATCAGACATAAAGGTATTAGAATTTCATAATATGTTTGAGCTTGAGTGCCACCTTTTCCTTACCAGGCCAGATCTCAGCATAGGAATAATTATCATTATTAAGATTAGTAACAGTAGCATTTCATGGCATTAACTTTGCTATAATACTTACTTGAGACAAGCAATGGTGTTCTGTAGGTCTACAAAGAGGAGGGCAGAGGCCACTGTTAGGCTGCCCCATCCAACCCCCAGATCCCTTGTAATTCCCCACCAGCAGTTCCTCAGTAGATACGGCAGATGTCATGATGGATTACAGTTTCCCAGGGGAATTAATAGATGGAGGTAAAGATGAAGCTAAATGGGGGGAAAAATTAGAAGAGACCCCAAAAGAGGCAGAACCACAGAATGGCCTGGGAAAAGAAGAAACATCCCCAAAAGGAGGAAAACTCAGGAAAAGGGGTTGTGAGATATAAAAGAAAAGAGGAGTTTAAGTGGGAACGTAGAGTGAAGAGTTGAAAGATGAACAGGCGAGAGGAAAGTTGAAGTTTGGGTCCATACCACAGATAATCCTGGGGAAGAGGTATATCAGGTAGATACAGAAGAACCTGAACACCCAGGAAACTGAGGCTCCATGTAAAGAGGATCCATGGAGTTTAAGAACAACCAAGATTACCAAAGTCTGAAGGTGACAAACACCTAAACCGACAATTCTCTTGTAAGCTCTCTTATTGGGAAGAGCAGGAATGGAGGGAAAGGTGATGAGAAAGACAAGTACAGAAGCAGTAGAGAATTTCAATGTCAGGGAGTTTGCCACCAAGATAGAGAATAGCATCCCCTCAGACATTATCCCTGGCAAGGCAAGTGCCCTCTTATGGGGAAGGTGGAGACTTATACTGTATGTAAGCCATCCCTGTTGCAGTGCTCCTTGTCCAAACCAGATTGGCTTCACAGACAGAGATACGACAGGGATCACAGACAGAGATATGACAATCATTAATAAAGTAGAATAAGAGAGACATTCAAGTGAGAGTGTTTTTCCTTTTAACATTTGTCCTTTAAAGAGGGTTTTTTTAGCCTTGGTGCTAATGTTGTTGGTTCTTCTGTTACTAGTTTGATGAAACCTATTTTGATACATTCAATTATGTCATCTGTCTTGGAACAAAGAATGCAGGAAGGAGAACTACATTGGAGTGGTTCACAAGATACTAATTCTAAACAGTTAGGTTTCTATATGTACAGTGGACCCTTGACTTACAGACTGCTCGACTTACAGACTCTTTGAGTTACAGACTTCTCTGGCCGCAGAATTTAGGTTCGACTTGCAGCCTGAGAATCGGACCAGAAAAGAAAAGAAAAAACAAAACACAAAATGGAACAAAAACGGCCGGTTACGGATTAATCGGTTTTCAATGCATTGTAGGTCCATGGAGACTCGACCAACAGACTTTTCGACCTGCAGCCACCATTCCAATACGGATTAATTCCGTAAGTAGAGGGTGCACTGTACACATCATCATATCATACAATAATATGCACAAACTGCTGTTGAAAGTGTTGGAGGTTTTGCATCCTCGTGTGCTGCCTCTCATAGGTATATCTGGTACAAACCATTCTGGGCTGGGGTGACTGTCAATTACTAACATCACTAACCAGTAGTTCTTTCTCTTCCTTCAAAGAGATACACATCTTTCTGCTAGGAGTTTTTTCACCTTTTTATTGTTTGAATCAGTCTGTTAGAAGCAAGCAAGTAGTTTGTTGATCTAACTAACAGTTTTGAACAGATCAACAAACTGTTCTTTCTCTTACTAATGTTTCAGAATGAGTTGTTGAGACTGTAAGTGCCAGTTGATAGTAAAAGGGGAAGACTAATCTGGGGAACTTTAAGCTAACTGTCCTCTGTGCACTTCTGCTGTGCAGCTAGGAGAATTTAAGCAAAATTCCAAACTCTGCAACAGAAAGAAAGCCAAATAAAGAAACAAGCTTTTTCCAGTATATCTTCATCTGATAACTACAGTGTATCCTAAGCTTTTGTAGAATACTGTAACTTAATAAACAGTTACAGGGGCAAGGTAAGGCATGAAGGCTGGAATCTTGTTAACAAACATGAAATATAACTGTTCCTCATTTTTGGCATTTTATGCATGCTGCTCAATCTCTGGCTTGCAAATTGCACAAAGCAAAAATCACTCTGTTCCAAGAGAAAGACTCCAATGTGTTCAAGGAAAGGATGACTACCCCTTTGAATAAACAGGGCAGGTGCAACTCCGTAAGTAATGGACCGTTACGTTAAAAAAAAGATTTGGGTCAAATATTTTTTAAAAATAGATCTGTAATCATCCAGTTGTCAAAAATGGGGGTGATCTGCAACATATTTTGATTTTTTATATCTGCTTCATGCTTTGATTTTTAGAAAACTGGGTGAGGAAATATCATACCATACTCCTGTGTTCATATTTCCTTGTCCAGCTACATCAACAAAGGTTGTAATGTTTGTGGTGTGCAGACTACAACAATCTGTTGTTGAATACAGATATATGCTACAGGATAATTTGAGGTGAGATAGTGTTAAAATGAGCTTAAAATATACCAAAAGAAAACAACAGCAAGAATTGAATATGAACTAGCAAATGAACATTGTTAGAACCATTTTATGTAGCCTACCTGAAGAGCTTCGGAGATGAAGGAGACAGATTCTTAGTCTGTGAAGAGCATTGGTCAGTTCAGAGGGACTGACTGATGAAGCCTTGCTTCCTAAAGGGGTTGGTACTGGTATTGGTGACTCCTATACAGAGATAAGCAACATGGGATGACTGAGAAATTAAGATCTGGAATAACCACATTAACCACTGGATGTACATCAGATGGAACCAGTCTGGTGGAATGGGCAAGGTGTTGGAAAAACCACAGAAGACTCTCTGGAGGAATGGTAGAATATGTGATAAAAGCTTCAAGCAAAAAAAGTCCTAGTTTGGTTATGTCTAGGTAAGAAACTCCATCTGGGACACAGGGCCATAAGAGACCAATATAGATGTATTGGTCAGGTGCACAAGACAAGGCACATAGTCAGTGTTGTCTTAAACTCCTTGAAAAATGATTGGGACCCATCCATTGAATATGGAACATTACAGAAAAACCGTCATACACTGCAGCAGAAATGGGCATGTTGTAAACCCCCCAAGGTGTGTTTGACTGCCAGTCTCATCAGCTTTAGCCAGCATAGCCCATAGTGAGGCATAATTTGAGCTTTAGTCAAAACATCTGGAAGATTTCATCCTACTAACAGTGTAGTATGTTGCTTATCTCATACCCCATCTGAATAAGGTAGAATGCCAGATATACAGGAGAAAAGCACTTTCCAGATTCACATTGAATTGTACTTTAGATTAAATTCAGTAGCAACTCTAGAGACATTAAACTCAGTGGGACCATGTTTTGAAATGTCCTGAAATTATGACTTCTTTATTTGTAATACAGAGGTTTTGACTGAATATCAGGGTCCTCCAAATTGGGGCAACTCTGCCCCAACTAAGAACAGACATTTCTGTCTCTTATGTGTACTGTCTATGACAGCACCAGAGAATGTTCTCAGCTGCTAATGCTTAGCTGAAAATTTAAAGCCTTAAACTTGATTAGCTGTTAAACTCTTTGAGTCCCTTCCATAATTACAGGTCTTTAAATAAAGGTGTGCCTGGTAACCTAGTTGTATATTTTATCGTTTTTCCCAATGAATTTTAAAGCCTTGCTTTTTCAGCATGAGGAATGTAGCTGATCACAACAGGGAATCTAGGGCAGCCCAAGCAGCCTCCCCATATGTTCTGTCATTCCTGAACTCATACGTCTAGTTGCTGTATTGCTGTCTTAACCAATGCAAAGTGGTTCTGAGTTGGTATTCTCTAGGCTGAGCAAGCTTCAAAGGATGTAGCTCCAGTGAAGGGGCTTTTTGTCCATCTGGCGCTCTCCACCTATTGAAAATGTCCTGTTTCTTAAATTATGCAATGGTTGCCCGTTAAAATTTAAATGATGCACTCATGATGGATTCAGCATATGGTCTTATAGGTCACAAAGGACCAGATTATGCTTTTCTCCCACAAAAGAAAAAAGCAGTTCACTTATTATGCTTGTCAGAGGCACTGCCTTTAAGAGTGGTTTTAAACCACTTACTGAACTAGTCTGCAATGGTAAGATAGTTCACAAGAAGCAACGGCAATGCTCATGTGTCAATCATAACATGTGGAGAAGGCAGATTGCTGTAAAGACCACTTCAGGGTGCTCCTGACAATTGGCTCTCACAACTGGAGCCATAGAAAATACCTCTGAAGACTCCCAGTTGTCCTAGTTGTATGAACCACTGGTCAGACTGTTATGTGTCTCCAGCAGTATACACAGGATATGGACCTAACACTTCACTGAGAGCTGATAATGTGAGGATCCTGAAAGCTGAATCCAGGTCAACACAAGCATGTTCTTGCAAATTTGCAGGAATCTTGTCAGCATGGGGTGCCACATGCAGTCCTCCTAACCCCCTGTGACAGTTCTGGGTGTCTAAGCCCTAACTTTCTAGACTAATTTCTGTATAGTGAACCATAGCATAATTTTGATGAAGCACTGGTGCTGGCTGGGGTTGGTGGGAGTTGTAGTCCAATAACTCATGGGGAATCACTGTGATGGTGCATACCCAGTAGACCATCTAATTTAATTCATTGGCCAAGACACAATATCTTGTTACCTCCATTGTAATCTGCCAAACTCACATCCTTCTTCTTTTTACACAGCTCTGAGGTAGAACATTCTCTACAGTTTGTCCACTACTTTTGGGGTTACATAGAATTCCTAAAGGGGTGATTAAAAATATAAAGCCATTTCTTCTTAATGGAAATGGGAGATATTGTCTTGACTTTATTCCTAAAGTGCAAATACAGTAGAATAAGATAGAATAGCTTTCCTGGTCAACCAAACAAATTCACAATACATTTTGACATATCGTACTGCTAGAATGTGGGTGTTTTTTGTTTTTGTTTTTTGTTTTAAACACAAACAAAAAGAGCAAAAACAAAAAAAACCCCTACTCATGGTAGCTGGAAAGTCTATAGCCACTTCCCATAAGATGACTGGGTCCAAATTGATAGTGACAGCATCAGGATAAGCAGCAAATAAGCAATGACATAACATCAATAAATATTGCATATAAGAATGCTATATGTTATTGTTTTAAGCAACTAATATATCACAGTTGCATACTCATTTCTGACTAACCATTGTAATGCACATGAAAGCATTACTTATTTTCATGAAGCATAGGAACTAATGATGTACATTTAATGAACAGAACACATACAAAATGTCTGAGCTGACATATGCAAGATTGTATTGTTGACCATATTTGCTGTCAGACTGTTTCTTTAAAATAGTGGCTAGAATCCTGTTAGGTATTTACATTGGTGCAAGGACAAAAATATGAATTGTGGAAATCAATTGCCAAGCTGCCTGTCATCATGTACCAAGTTATGCAACTGGCATATGACAAGAAACTGACAGCAACAATTCATTGATTAATCGTAATTGGCTACCATGATTTGTGTCATTGTACTTCTGCTAACTCAAGTATTCCACAGGACCCTGGCCATTACATTTCAGTGTTGTCCTAAGTTTTATTTCACATGACCTATACTCAAGCATACTGTAAATCCATGTAGCTTTATCAAGATATACCACTCCGTAACTGTGCCTTTCACAGATGCTGGTCAGCTTTTCATTCTTCAAAAAAAGACTGAAGAAGCATGTATGAGAGGCTGGCTTAGACAGAGAACTGTTAAATCTATAGTCAGATGTAACTACCAGCTGCTTAACCAGGTCTCAAGCAAATATATTGGTACCTGAGACAGCTTAACTGGACATAAAGACTGCATTTTCTCAGGACAGATTGTATTCTATACCGGTGAACTCCAGTGTTATGTTAATGGCCTAGAAATAGTTTTACAAAGCTAACTTGTTTATAGGCCAATTTGGAAAGAGCACTTACTTTCTGTATCTACCTTCAGAAAATCCCAAACCTCTCTAGGAAAGGCTAGAAATTGGGAAAGTTGCCTTTTCAGATTACAGCTCCCAGAATCCTAATCATCTTGGAAAATGTGTTGTTGTTAAGGAACACATGTTGTATGAGCAGTTTAATAACCCAAACTGAGAGGTGGGGTGGTTGTAGGGAATTAAGAATAGGCCAAAGCCTTTTCTGCAGGAAGAAATGCAGTTTGCAAGCTAAACTCTTCCGCTACCTGATCTAAACCTATACGATACCAAAGGATGAGGGTAGCCTGAAATAATTTCCCACATCTCAGGGAGAGGGCTGTGTTAGCTCAGCTCACCCCTGGCCATTGTGACCCGTTAGAACTCTGCTCTAAGTTTGGAACAGTTGTTTGTTTTCTTTTCAGGTGAAAAGTATCTAGATTAAGTTCTATGGTTGTTCTATAGCAGTACCATAATCTCTCTCAACCATTCAGCTAAGTTCCTGTATAAGCAAGGAATCTAGTTGGATGAAAGACACAATGGTATGGATATATTACGAATAACAACAAAGCAAATTGAAATAATACAGTTATCCGGATGTGGCAAGGGCAGTTTTGGATCCCCAGAAATGAAAGCCCTTTTGTTCTCTTTTGATATCCAAAACATCTCTGGACATCTCTTCTTGGAATTAATGGGAGAGGGAAATGAGCATGACTTTTGTTTGATTTGTAGTGTGTGCTTTTTAAATTAAACCTTTCCAAAATTCATACATGTTTGCGTACATTTAGTAGAATGAATTTGAGATCTGAAAAACATTCCAAGGGGGTAGACATGAATGAATGGGTTTTCCCATCCACAATTAGAATACAGTGGGGGTGAGATAATAAACATATGTATCGTCATCAATAAATAAGCAGGAGATGAAAGCCAACAGATGAAAACAATTTTAAAACTCAGTTATGAGCTTTAAAACTGTCTCAAACACATTCAGTTTCCTCATTCAGGAAAATAATATCATCTTTACCAGAAGTACAAATGGCTAAACACACCCTAGAGGCGAAAATAGAAAAAACAGATAGGTTTCAATGAAAACTGTCAGAGGCCATAAGCTTCCCTGAAAAAGGACGTCTTCATGTTGTAACATCATTGAAAGGGCAAAACATGGCTCCCTAGGCCCTGAGCCTGGATATAGCACCAGGTTATGGTCCACTGTTGGTTAGTGTTTCTGTTGTTGATTGAAAATATGAAGGCAGTCCTGCAAGGGTTACACCATCAATAAATAAAATGTTTTTATTCATTGAACATTTGTTTGTAGAGATCTTCAAGCCCATGTCTTCTCTAGGACTGGGGGAAAATGAAAGAAATATTTAAAGGGGTAAAAAAAAGAAACTTTTCATTAACTGAATGATATTTGATAACTATGAATCATATATGACAGTAAGATTCTTCCCAGACCTCAACTGCTGTATCCAAATGATGATAAATTCAGTTTTGGCAGAACTGGGGCAATTCTGGGTCTTCTGTCTGACTGTGCTTCCTCCATACACTCCTGTAATAAATACTTGACACATTCTTTTCATTTAGGTACTGAGAACAGGCAGCTTGTTTCACTTCATAGTTAAGGCAGGTTAAGTTTGGCAGAGTTCAGCTGAAACTGCTTGAAGTACTTACATCAGTAAGGTGGTTGACTAGGCTGTAAATATGGTTTTCTACTAAATCAGATTCTAAGAGTGATGGG